ATCCACAAGATTTGGATCACTCTCTTTTCCAAACGTGTTCAGAATCTTAAAAGATTAAGTAGAAACCCTTCGACACGACGTCAAAGTCGACACTTTTAAGTGTTAAGGACTTAGAGTATTTTCAGGTCTTTGATATGGAGATATCTCAGCCTTCGATAAGAGCGGCTAAAGCGTTCAAAAACGATTATCTACATAGTTATCACCACATTTCATTTTGGTATTCAAATGTTTCTCTTTGAAGACGTGTGGAAGCAAGTTAGAGCAAAGCAACCCCATGTAGTAAGACGCATGTCGAACATGTAACCAACAACTGATGTCAACAGTTATTTTAGGACTAGTATATAATACAAGCTTACGCATTGTAGTCGAGATTGCAAAATTCTCATTCATTCTCTATAGAACTAGAGTACTCAAGTCATCAAGCAAAATAGTTTGTGAAAAATGTGAGTCAACGTTCACTTTTGAAATTTGCTGCAAATCCTTTGTATTTCAAGCATTAAAAACTAATGTCATTTATTTCATTTGCTTTGATTATTGTTTTTTATCTTTATTCAAAGTTTATTGTTTGCATTCAATTGATTTATTACCCCAAACGTTTTAAATCCAAATAACACATTTTTTACTGTATATTTTCTTTACACAATTTGTCTTAAATTTTTTTTTAATTAATCTTTTAAATAAACTAAACTCGTGATTGTTTTTTAAAAATATCAGTAAACATCTTGATGAAAGTCAGTTGTACAGTGGATATAATCTGCTCCGTGTCTACGACTATAATCTGGCTGCCGACACTTTTGCCACCATCTTATAAAGCAATCTAAAAAGAGAGACAGCCTAGTCTCCCATAACCAAAAAAGAAACCAGCTAAGGGATAAGTGTAACAATGAAAGATGTGAAACTCCTAAACAAAACAGTATTCACAAACAACTACCAAAACATCACATACATGTCATTCTTGACCAAGCCCCAAAACTTCTTAAAGAAAGAAAAATTAAATCCATCTTATTACATGAAATATTAAAAAATTGTGAAGTTGATATATTCAATAAGAACTCTTGATTTGAAAATTAGATTAATGAAATTCAGTATATATAATGAGTTACTAAGTGGAGTAACTCTTGTTAGACTTACTTATGGAGGATATCTATATCATTAAAAAAATATTTTGGAAAATTTGAGTTAGTTCCTAATTAAGAGTAATATTGAAAAATCAAGTTCTCAAACCCAGTAAGTGTTGTTTACATTATTTTCTCTTGACTGATACAAAGATACCTAATGTTTAATAGCTTCAACACTTCATAACAGAAGCAAGTAAATGAAGCTATAAAATATGGAATTCTTTACATTCTGATTACTCAAGTTCTTCAGGTAACAAATACAAGTTATCAGGTACAAACTAATCACTGTAAATCTAAGAACACCGTGACAGTAAAGCCGTGTTCAACATCTAAATATGCTGCAAGCAAAGCATGATAACCATTCTACAGCTCCAATTTGCAACAGATTCAGACAAGTATTCCACTTCTACCCATAGTAGAAAGACATCAAAGTGATGTACATCTTCGATAAGGGCCAATATCATCTTTAAGTTTTACACCCCTGCCAACATTAAATTAACCTAATGAGGGTATTCTTCACTCATGACCACTTTAGACTACAAACTGAATCTCATACAACAACCAAACTTTATCCCACTAAATACATGGATCAACTTTTGTCATAATGTTGTATTCAGTAAATTAAACCGAATCTCCCAGCGAGATATATTTTTTATTGTAACTAGAATTATTGAATATGCATTGTGACTAATGCTAACTAAACATATGTGTGTAAAACAAACACTTATCCAAACATGAACATACTCCAACCAAAGAATCATGCAAAACTATATCCCTGAATCTGAACTAACCATTATCTACTACTACTACTATTGCTAGATGAATGGTTCATGAAAATCAAGGAGCGGATTTCAAAGTGTAAGGCTGTGGAAGCAACAACGGACCTCTCCTAGAGCCTTTATCATCCAAAAGCCTCTGATCCCTTTTGTTCCTGCAATATTGTCTATCGAAATGTTTCACCTGCCACATGATTAATCAACATACCCAATTAAGAAAAGCATCCATTATTACAATTGCAAGATCAAAACAGAAAAAGGGTTGAAAAGGGGGTTAGGGTTACCCTTACCCAAGAAGATCGACATTGATTTACGAATTGATCTCTGGAACTTTTGCATTCAATGGGATAAAGCAAACCTACGGATGCAATCTCGGTTGGTTTCTTATCACATTGCTTTTCGAGGCACGAGTAGAAAGCATCACGTGCCTGGTTCAATGTAACAGAAGAAAGAAAATGATAAAGCGTGAATGATAGAAACCAATGTATTGATGTTGAATGGAGAGAAGAGAGTTACCTTGTAGCATGATTCTCTGGCTTTGGAGAGGACGTCGGATTGGACTTTGTCATCGTTTCCTGCTTCTGTAGCATAAGCTTTCACCGCCATTGTTGATCGATAAACCTAAAACTGATGGCTGGAATTGCAATGTAATTTCAGATGGGCTCAACTATTTTTATGGAGATATGGCTTGGAGTGTTAACCAAGTTAGGGGGATTTATCCTCCCACCCCAAGTGTAACCTAACACCCCCACATCTTATACATTTCGGGGTGTAATTGATTCGGTTTGTACTATTTTTTTTGGTTAAAAAAAAGTTTTAAATCGATGATATTTTTATTGATTTGATTTGGTTTTGTTTTATTTTTAACATTGTTTAAAAATGAAAGCGAATCAAATTAAATGGTTTGATTTAATTTGATTTAATTTGGTTGATCGATTTATAATGTTTTTTTTTAATTATATCTTCCGTGTATTCTCTATTATTGTATTTTTTTAGTGTATTTTATGCTATTATTTTTAAAATAATATATTTTATGTAATTTATTGCATGCTCTATTTTTTTAAACAAATTAAAAGTTTCTCTTAATTCATACGATACAGTGACATGATTTCTATTGTATCATGAAATAAGTTCACTATCAAATATAAAAGTTGACACTTCGCATCAGAATTAAATATAAAGGTTGACACTTAGCATCAGAAGGTTGGGAAAGGATTTAAAACCTTAACAAATAGAATATAACAAAATACACATCAATTAACACGATTCACACATCTAACACACATCAAAATTATTTTTTTAACAAGGATAGAAACAAAAAAGGTAAAAAGAATATAAAAATTAATGAAGAGAACTTGAACAGGAAGAGCAACCATAAAATATTTGAACGGAGAGAGAGAGAGAGGGGGGGGGGGAATAGTTGTTGCGGGCAGCGAGAACAGTAGTTTAGAGAAAGCAGATTTTTGTGACATATGGTTTCTACTTTATATGCTTTGGAGTTTGGTTCTAGATGTGTGTTTTCCTAAAAGGAAGGAAGTGTAAACAAAGATGGAGAGTGGTTTGATCGATACAAATATTGGACTTAATGGTAGGTTAAATAAAAGACTTACAGTGTAACTATATCCATTGGTTCAGTTCATCGATTTGGCAGTTCCTAAAAACAAAAACCGAGAATCGAACCAAACCACATTGGTTTTCAATGGTTCAGTTTGATTTTAGAACCGAACCAAAAACAATTGGTTTTATTTTGGTTTAGATTGTCAGTTTAATTGGTTTTTTCTTATCCACTTACACACTTATGCATCTACCATATTAATCTGGTCAAATATAAAAATTTCATTTCACAAATCCATTGGAAAATTTCGAGTTTTTCAGAAACCTCTCATCAAAACCAAATTTTTCGAGCAAACTTCTGCATTTATAAAAAGTATCATTTTTTATCGAATTTTTCCCGTTATAACGACTTTTTTATGAAAAAACATGCATTTTTACCGCATATTTCAAAAAATTGGCAAAAATTTATGTTTCATGATAACAGGATAACACATGGTGTATTTTGACTCGATTCACATGCTTTTCAATGTCATTTCATATATTTTTATTTGTGTTACGTTGGTAGTTGTTGTGCATTTCAGGTGTGAGTTGATTGGACACTCATGAAACAACACTGACTTGTTGAAACAATTGATGCGGACATGGTTGAACTCCATCCAATTCATTTCCAAAATAATGTCAAGTTGACTCAAAGGAAAACAGATTAAATAAACCCCAAAGTCCTTACCATAAATTGTCAAAGGATAATTCAGATAAACCAACATAGTAGTCATCGAACCATTAGTTGGAGTATTAATGACTATATTGCCATTCATAAAAGACACCTCAAGATTAAACCTTTTCACACAGTCAGGGGATATGAGCAAATGCATCACGCATGTATCAATAATAGCAATCAAAAGAGACACAGTTAATGGAACATGTACCTAAAATCAAGTTATCGGACCCATAAGTCTTCGTTCCATTCATAAAAAATACCTTTCCACATGATTTAGCTTGCTTTGGTTTTTGGAACTGAGTACCGATATGACCTTGTTTTCCACAATTGAAACATTTCACAACCTCACTCTTACATAAGCCACTCTCAAACTTAACCGATTTATTACATTTGATGTTGTATCAAAGACTTCTCCTTGTAATTAACAAGTTATCATCATAAAAAAACATAATAACAAAAGCAAACCATAAATCTCATGGGCTTTGATCACTTATCTTGAGTATCTTACAAAACATGTTTCTAAGGAACCGTGACAACTAATATTATAATGTCATTCACCCCGGCCTCAAGAATGCAGGCATTAACTAACAGCGGCTTATGGATGTTGTATTATCCCACCAAATATGGCATAACTTGGAAGTCTAAGTCAACGAAATGATAGTGATGACCGCATAAGGACATAGTCATGCAACATGTAACACCCTAAAATCGCAGCACATATTTTTAAAATAAAATCATGCAATAACAGTTTATTTCAACCATAAAGTGTCACACTTCTCTCATAAAACATGCTTCTCAAAAACTTTATAACAACGCAGGAGAATTCAAATGATATTATCTCAACTAAAACATCTCATACTTCCTTAAACAGATGACTTAGTCTCAATATAAGAAAATAAGTCCATAATTCTCATAAAACATCAAACAGCTGAAACTTATCGCGATGATACACTATTAGAGCGACACCACTGAAAACTTAAACTCAAAATGATAAACATAAAGGAGTAGACATCTACACCAATCCTTCTAACAAGAAGCATTTAGTGCTCCTCTACCTAGGTATTTGTACTATCATCACAACGAGCAGCACAACAAAACAAAAAAGGGTTAGAAATACATTCGTAATATCAATGGTGTATGTAAACCGTTAGGATAGTTTAACAACAACATTCATAATCTCATTAAATAATTCACAACAATTAGATAATCATTAATGCAAATATAATGCAATGTATTTCTCCCCTACTTCCCAATGCATGTGGTACTAAGGTCTGGATGTCATAGTTATGTTATTGAATTATCCATATCTCTGGTTCCTCTCTTAACCTGAGACCGTTAGTGGTTCCTCTTTGAACCATGACCTCACTGGACTGAAGTCCTACCTATCTCCGATATACATGAATGCGTAAATCTCAACAAATAACATTCAAAACACACACTCAATAATGGTTGCTCTCCGAACCCACAAATTTGCCAATGTAATGCCAACACTGTAATTCCTATATGAACTACTCAACTCAACATGTTATATAATTACAGCTTAATTTAATATAATTATATAAATATTCACATTTATTCCTCAATATTGTAAACATATTATTGCTCATGTTAGCTCCCCTACACGGAAAGAAAACAATTACTCACAAGCGTTTTCTAGCCTTGTCCCACTACGCATCAATACAACTACGAACATCTCAGATTACTCAAATTTAACTCTAACAAATCAATAACATTACTCTAAATTACTCAACAAGTCAAAATTTAACCATTTTGACTTAGCATCCTTAAATAAATAAATGTATAACTCATAAATCTGCTATATAATGTTAAAAGACTTAAAACTCAACTCAAGTGTATCATATATCTTCAACTCCAACTCTAAACCTATCAAAGGACTCTAAATAAATTAAATATTACTCTAAAATTACCACAAGGCAACAAAACATCACCAAAATCATAAACTGCTCAAAACTCACCGAACCGGACCACGAATTGTCGAATTGTCGCCTAACCAGCAAAATGCCGCCCGCCACCCTAACCGCCAACCACCGAGCTAACCCACGCTTCTGACACCTCTAAGGCCTCACGCCATATACCACATACCCCCACACGTCGTGCGCCACTGTCAGCGTTAAACGTGGTGTCCCGCCGCCGGGCACGACTCCTTTTGCCGTTGCACAACACCCCCCTAATTCTAAATATTTTTTTCTTGTTTTTGATTTTTTTTCTATTGTTTTGATTTTTCAACCCTTAAGATTTTCGCACAAAAACACAGATTAACAGTCATAGAAAAATCATACACAATTATCCAAATTTTACATTTTCACCTTATGACTTAACCATCGATACTTAAACAACTCTACAAGGCATTAACTCATAAACACACCATTAGACCTGGCAAAGGTAGATTTGAACTCAACAATAACAATAACAATAACATATCACATAATAATTAAAAGGAACATATTATCATTGATTGCCTCAAAGGTTTTACCCAAACCTATTTGACTATAAACATCAAATACAGATAAAGGAATGAGAATGCATGAGGGTAATTATTAAAAAAAAAAATTGTGCCCTCAATTTTTTAGCATTATTATAAATAAAAAATATAATTCTATTCCAACTCTATTAATGTTATAAAAATTGTTATCACTACTACCAGAACTAATACACCATAAATATGAGTAGATAGCCTAAATTATTCTTTGGGTAACAATAACCATAAATCTGAAACTTCTCAACAATTCTCGGTTGAAATGTTCCAATCCAATACATGCCAGAGCAAATTGTAGCAGTATAGTTTTTGATGTTTTAGTGTAACTCAAACCATTATAGCATCCTTGACAAATCTTAGCTAAGCAAATAAACTGTTAATTTAATAATATTGACTAGCCACATGAGAAAATCTTGGCTACTCAACCATAGAGATAACATAAGTAACATTGTCAAACTCTTTATTTTCTAGTTGAGTGCTTGAAAACTATCCAAATGAGAATGATTGACACAAGCAAGTGGCTAACTAAGAAAGTTATAGGTGTAGATTCAAATCTTTATAGAAGACAGATTCCAAAAGGTAATAAGGGCCGACATGACCATTATCTGCTTGTGACTGCAAGCATTCCATAAATGTCTATTATCATAACAAAGATATATGAAAAATAATTTATATTCATACCATGAACACTAATAGGTAATAATATTGTCTTACCAATGACACTGAGCCTCCAAATTGAAATAAGATGGGTCATACTGAACTCATCCTAGTAGAAGAAAAAGAGCTACCTGCAACAACTAGAAAATAATACTTAACCAACACTACAAATCAATATGA